TAGGGACACAACTTCCCACTTTTTTTGGAAATGATATCCTCATCCTCGGTGGTTGGTGCTATCATTTTCTGATGATATTCCAATATCGAGGTTTCTTAAAATTAAGAATCTCCAAGTCACCATCGGATTTAATAGACCAAGTCCTGGTCATCCATGACGACTGGATGATTTGGGTACACCCCATTTCAAACCATTTCAGTAAACCTCCATATATTCAACAATCATACCATAATCTTTCATAATTATCCACCTTAAATAGAACCAATCCACAGAGTGCCCTCTCCCATGGCAGCCTCTGGTTCTCCACCCCTCCTCAGAGGTGTCCATGGATTCAAACCACCGATGGATTGGATGGCTTGGATGGGATAAGAAGCCCTTGCCTATGGGTTTATACCAACCTCTATGATATAAATCTGGGTAAATTATAATAATTCACTAACCTGAATTGTTGGGCCATTTGGGGATGATTCCCCTTACTAACCATGATTTCCAGAGAGGGAGAACAGTGAGGTCGTTATAATTTACCCGGATAAATACACATGATGGTTATAAAATCCTTATTTATGCCCTTTGAAATTCGCCCCAAGGGGTGAATTGGCCCACATTTTGTAGCTATAAAAATGGCATCTAAAATGGGCCGTGAGGCCTTCCAAATTAGTACATGCTACAAAATGGCTGGCCTAGGGAAACTGATTTCCTACAAAATGAGCCTAAAATTGGTCTTATATATCTTATATGGGCCTTGAGGACAACCATTCGATAGGGGAAATTTCAACAGGGATCCTTATTTCACCTTATTTCATATCCCCATGAAACCGTAAGAATATCCTTTTGGATGGTTTCTACCAACCCTTATGATATCATATTCGCCATGGCAACCTTGTGTAACCATCCCATCACCTCGGTGATAGCTGCGAAAGGTCATGGTCTTGTGTCGATGTCTATGTCCCCTTTGTTTAGGGGGCATGTCTTTAGGATTGCTCAGAGTCTGCTTAATGTTTGTTTAGGTTGTTTTTCAAAATAGTTGCTCTGAGTATGTCTAGGGTTTGTTTAGGCTATATATGATGGCCGGGTTGTTGCTTAGGGATGTCAAGGGTACATCTAGGGATGAGGTCGTGTATGCTTGGGGTCTGTCTAGTTGCTCTCTAGGGTGAAAAAAATGGGGTTGTTTAGGGTACGGTATGCATGTTTAAGATCTTTCCAGGCTTGCTTAGGATATGTTTAAGGCATATTTCGGGTTTCTTTGGGCGTGTGTTTAGGAGTCTTTAGGGTTTGGCGTGCTCAGGGCTTGATGAATGTATGTTTAGGATTTGGTTATGAGATTCAAATTGTAATTTTGCGTGGTGCGGGCAGTCTTTGGATGTCTTTGGTGCAAATGTGACCTTCGATGATGCGACGTCCTTGGATAAACCTTGGAAACCACAGAACCAATAGAAAGCGATTGAGGACATAGAAACGAAACTAAACTACTTTGGAAACAATAGAAATCAATTGAAGTAATAGAATCTACTTTGGAAACAATGAAAGCCTTAGAATAGAAAAGCACAGAAGCCATAGACACCATTGAAATCTTGGACACTGAACCGACTGCCAACGGTTTCCATCTCGGCAGGATGTTGGCGGATTCCTGCCATGAAATTCGGCTGCTTCAACCGCTGTGCCAATGGCATGGCTGCACACGTAGCAAGCCCACACCAAGCGAGGTCTGGAACTTGACCATGGGTCATGTGAACAGATTTCCTTCCCTCTTATGGAGCCACTTGAGATCTCATTGTTCGATATTGTTTATGTCATGTTAATTAATGTGTATGTATAATATATATATATATATATAATATAATATAATATAATACAATATAATATAATTATACATAATTATAATATGCATATATGTTTTATCGACTTTTCAATGTAAATAGTAGACAAGCAAAGGCTTTGCATTGTTGCCACAAAACAACAAAAAGAAAGTAAATAAGCAATGATTCCCAGTCTCTCCAAACCTCAAAGCACAAACCAAATCCCATCATCTAGAGTCTTCCAACAAACAAACAAACAAACAAACAGGAAATCTGCAGCCACGCAAATGGGCATGGGTCAAAATTGCCGAAAATGAAACTATTGATTTCCAAATATGCTGAAATGTGTGGTGCCAGGTAAATTGTGCATGAGCTTCTGGTCCCCTTTTTCTTAAAAATAAAAAACATATATAATTAATTAATATAATACACTCACCATATTATATGCTGTAGATCATACTATATCAACACATCACTTGCGTGGGCACCTTTGGCTCTTCCTTTTCTTTGGTCCTAAATGGATGTTCCAGAACACATGTATTGCTTGTGCTTCAAGATCGCCGAACATATAGAAGAAGTAATCCCTACTACAATCTTGCAGGTGTTTGCATGTCCACCATGCTGGAACCTTAGTAAGGCTCTATTTATAAAAGTGAAGATCATCCCTCCAAACAATGATCATATGCGGCACAGCACTTGTGTTGTCCAATAGGCTACCCAAAAATCCAATGATTGAATGATCTAACAATAATACCTAATTGTACCTACAATGACAATAATTCACGTGGGAGTTTTTACTCCTCCATGTCCTCCATAAACCCATTTAATGGATCTTTGGCCACTGAACGCAAGCAGCCGAGAAACAAGAACTTGCACATAAACTCCACCGGGTCTTCAGGTTTCATCCTGTTGAGAACGAGATTCCCCGTTAATCGTGGTTGAGAACGTCCCCATGAAATATGGAGTATAACGGTTAGTATAATCCCCGAACCAATCATCAACCAGTTTAATAAGTTGCTGTATATAAACCCTACTAACTATAGATACTATAAATATCTAAAATAGACCCTAGTGACATTCGTAAAATAGACCCACTTTGATAACAAACTTGTGCACCATCCATGATTTGTAGCTGCCGACCATGGAACCAACCTTGTATCCCGTAAGTTTTGGTTGCAAGATGCTTCAAATCTAATCATGGATGGTATCACCTCATTAGTTGGAAACTTGCTACCCCTGGTTACTCTTATCCATGTAAGTACACCCTATGATTAAATCCCATCTTTCTATATCTTTCTTTAATCTATTTTTGACGATTCACTAACCCCAAAGTAGCTGAAACTCAATAGGCCAGCCTAGGGACGTCACGTGATGTCCTGGAGGCCCCACCAGGATGCTTTGGATTGCTGGGGAAACATCATGAAAGATCATGAAACACAGATATAAAACCATCGATCCGTTAAAACCCTCTCCGCCATAAGTATGTCAACCATGTGTGCTGAATGTATCTTGGAGCCCTGTTCATCCAACAATCTACAGGTCCATCCATCAGCTGCCCTCATTGCATGCTGCGCCTCAGCATGGTGCGAAGACATTCCGCGAGCTTCTCTTCGATGCCGTGCTTTTGCAAATATCCCGTGGCCGCGTCCTGCGGTCAGTAAAACATGAGTCACCACACTAGGTGGATTTCCGCTGAATGGATGTAATCCAGTACACATTGAATTTTTGTTTGAATGAAATTATGATAGCTAAGTTGGCTTGCAACTTAGGTCAACAAGGGTATTGATATACCTGTACTATCTATACTTGGATGGGTTTATAAACCAATTTGGACCGGTGGTGGGGTGCTGGGATGATCATAGCAAGCCAACCAAGCTTTTCCTTCTCTGCATCTTACACCAACCTCAAAATAGATCCAATAATTGAAAACCAGGAAACCATAGAGTAAGAACTTGCAAAAAAAAACAATTACATTCGTCATAGGGGCATGTGTATGTAAGGCTTTTTACGGAGGTGTCATAAATTGGGAGATCCATACGTTTCAATACACAAATGGTCTAATTAATGACTTGGATGATTTGGGGGTACCACCACTATGACTTAGGAAACCCCCATATCAATATATACATATATATATATATATAATCACATATATATATAGTTAAAAAAAAACTACATCTCTTCCATAAACCCCAGCCCTTCTTCGCTGAAGGCACCAACAGCCGAAAACTGTGAGTCTTAAGTCGGATGATGTAAACATCATGGCCAGGATGCATCTAGGTCTGGGTTACGTCCCAAGGTCCAAACAATACCTATGAACCCTTAAAGTTTGCTGTTGAACATCACATTTTGCTTGGTTGCATGATGCTGGAAGCACATGTCTTAAACTAGTTGTTTTTTTTAAGATGACAAATAGCCCTAGATTTCAATACGATGCTTCATATGCTTCCCATCATTTCACCCATGCTTATGTCTGACAAAATCAGATTAAGTCATGTGAAATCCAAGGTTTTGCAGGCTCAGGATACAACCTTAAGGTCAAAACACGTCAACTTTCCCACGAATTCCATTTTTTGGATTGGTTAAAGACCTTATTTTGGTTGCTAAACTGATAAAAACAAACACACATGTTTGGTTGGTTAACTCTGTGAATGTCCGAGTTGATGGCTGAATTCCCTTATTTTTTGCTGGTGAAACAGTTGGTTCTGCTGGTTATCACCCCGCCATAGGCGCACCTTCGTCTCAGCCTCGATCTCGCGGCGTTGCTTGGCCGCGTCCTCGGGCTTCAGGTCGCGGTTGCAGGTGCTTACCTTGGAAAAAGGGCGGGCGCTTGAGCAAACATATCATGGGCTATATATATATAATTTTATATTATATATATGATATTGTTATATATTGTGATAATACTGGGAATATAATGGGACAATCAATGGTTAATAATGGTTATATATTCCGCGTATAATTGTAATATAATGAATGGCAAGACACTCATGATAGGATAGTGTCATTGTATTATATATATATATACTGGCATCATACCCCATATCACAATGGGAATATCATGGAAATTTGTCCATGATGAAAGATGAATGGAATCTTCCGTGCCATCAAACCTGGCTTAGCTGGGAAATCCCTGAACTAACCGGAGATATCTAGCTGGGAGAATCATCCTTTTTAACGGTGGATAATCTGCAATTAATGGGAACCAACTACGGGAGCATTTTATAGGACATATAAATTTATGCAATAGAACATATCATCAACAAACAAATGGTAAGGTTGACACAGTACGCGGCGAAGAATGCACTGGGGCGAGTTGACCGACATCTGGGGAGGGGACGCATTTGAAACATCTACCCGAAAGACTTCGTCTGAAACCACCCATCATGGACCAGTTTTAAGGAGGACAACCATAGCCAAAACTCGATGTTTTTCCTGGTCATTAGTCATTTGATGAGGCTTGAAGCAAAATCCATTAGGGAACGGTGCATTCCAAATGCTTTTGGTTGTCCCTGTGCATCCCTGCATCTTGTGCTTTAACGGGGTTGAATATCTGCAATCACAAATGTCACAAAGTTCCATAAGATCAGAAGTTTCTGTTCCAAACCTGGATGATTGTGTCAATTCATCCGATAAGTAATGCATGGTACGGCTCTATTGGGTCATCTGCCCAAGTATCTGCTCAATTATGAACACCAAACCTAGCGTAATATTTATGAACCCCAATTAGGATGGAACATGACAAATATTTGAAACCATTGACCAGGAAATTAAATGAAATAAGTACGGACAAAAAAAACACATGTCCTCTCTAATCCTACATATCCTGTAACAAACTTGGCCATTTCCAGCCGCTTAGGCTAGTATTTTCTCCCCAACAGAGCAGCAACATAAGCAATTGCTGTATTGTAAGTTACTATCACCACGGGGCTTTTGTTGGGGTCAGCGTATGTTGAGTATGTCAAAGTACCGTACCGTTTTTGGATGTTTTTGGTGGATATACAACTTATATACCCTCTGGTAAACTCACATAGCTATGGAAAATCACTATTTTTAATGGGGAAATCCACTATTTCGATGGCCATTTTCAATAGCTATGTAAACGTTTACCAGAGGGTAACAATGATATTCAAGTAGCAAACATTGGGACTTAACCGGCAATACTAGGCTATTGACACTCGTTGGTGGGTCACCCTGATCCACCTCGGGGATCTCAACTAGGGACTTCCCAGGGTACCCAACCACTCATCAGTGGTGAAGGCTAGCCATATCCCCTTATGTTTCTTGAATATTCTTCATCCTTCATGGGATGCCAAACAAAACATGCTGGGTAGCCACAGCACATCACAGCACAGTTCATTTGTCGCAATCGCTCATACTTCCATTTGGGGCATCAGCCATGACATACAACTCAAGATGCCAAAGATCCTACAGGACACAAGACGAAGTCCACTCATTTAGTTGTTCCCATATGTTCCCATAGCTACCCGGCAATTGTAGTTGTCTAAGAATTGGTTCAACCGCACGAAATGCTCTGGAAAGTCTGATGTGAAGTTGCTTCTCACGCACATCTGTTTCAATACCATCCAACAATGTCCAACATATGTATTTCACAGAGCCGGACACATTCTCGGACAAAATCCCGATGATGCCACGATGAAGTGGTCGGCTTCGGTGAATATGAGATCTTCTGGAAGATTTTAATCATCCCGTTGGTTCGATGAGCGATTGCCATTGCGTTCGTCCGCAACCATATCGTCAGCCTTCCATACTGCAGGGATCTCTGAGAAAGTTGCATAGCGCAAGGCATTGCAACATAGAGGCGGGTAGCTGGGTAGCCACAACCCCATCATCGCCCATCTATATCCATCTGCAGTGTCATTGTGTTACGGTGAGGTAGTTCTAAAACTAAATCATACATAAGATAGGATAAGCCAAGTTTTTACAGTCAACTCCCCGTATATATTTCCATGTATGTCCAACAGATTTAATATGTTCCATGGAGATCTAACAAAGACAATCAGTTTCACCCCTTCACCCACCAGCTACCCACCAAGCCAAAGCTACCCGCAACTTGACGATATCACTGGAGTCCCCTGAAATAGCGTTGACCTGGCACCAGGTGAGACATTCCAACCTTCCATGAGCATTTAGACTGTGGATGGTTTGCGAAATCCTGCACCAGGCAGGGCAACTATTGGAAACTATGAAATGGTATATAGGTAATTGGACTATAATGGGACAAATCATCTGCCAGATGGTGCAGGATTTCTTCCATCCACGGTATGGCTGTGACTGAAAATGGGGCATACCGCAAAAACAGCATTTTTACATATGTAATGTTACATTCTACTAGCGAAAACATAATGATGTTAAAAAGGTGGAATTGGATGGAACTGGGAGGCTCCCCATTGTCAAACAAACCCATGATCTCTAAACAACATTAAACAATAACATTAAGGATTCTGCTCAGGAGATGATTTGACCGACTAGTAACTAGTACGTACCAAACATATGGGTACAAAAAGGGGTTCAACAAGCAAATTGGGCCTTTACCAAGACCTTCCGAGACTAGCGGTCAAATGGGGACTTTGCATGATGTTCCAACCAAAAACTGGAATCTAATCGTTGCTTGACCCCAATTTTGAACTCAGGTGGATTGAATCAACTGAAAAAGGGGCTTCAAGAACAAACAAAAACTAGGATAGACACCAAGGTCTTTGAACAACACGTCCTGATAAGACACATGGGATAACATGATTCACAAAATCATGGAATATAAACTAGATTCATTTAGCATCCAAAAATAAGGATCTAAGCACATCAGCCACCAACAACCAAGGCGGCCGAAAATTGAGGAGCCACATTTCGAATAAACATGGTCTGTGTTAATCCTTACCCTCTTGTAAACCAAACGTACAGTCGCTATTGAAAACCCACACTTATCCAGCATTTCTAGATGATTTTCCTCGGGAAAGCATGAGTTTTTGCTTTCCTTTGCAGCTCAGAACACCAGGGCTATGGGAGATTTTGTATCTCCCATGGAGTTGATTTGCATCTGGTTGATGGTTGACCTACCCCTCTGAAACATATGAGTTCGTCAGTTGGGATTATGACATTCCCAACATATAGAAAGATACAAGCCATGTTCCAAACCACCAATCAGTCATGGAAAAAGAAAAAATGTTCCAAACCACCAACCAGGCATGCATGAACATCTGCTCATGCTCAATGGTCTGAGCACGCTGATTGATCCTGCTTCAAAGAGCTTTCTTCGACTCATTCTTGTTGATGCCCAAACAGTCAGCCGCTACTCTCAGCAAAACAAGACCACTGCCCAGAGTGATCGTCTCACCCCCATCATTTTTGTATGTTACCCGGTAGCTATTAATTACCAGAGATATTACCACAGGTCTACCAAAGTTATACAGTACCGTGATACCCATATGGGTTTGTCTGAAAATAGTGTATCTCATATTCCAATGGATTATCACCATGTTCCCCATTCAAATTACTATTTGTGGGTATCCCCTATTTTCAGACAAACCCATATTAACCTGGGTGTATGATCTTTTAAGCCATCCCCACACGCCAGCAGACAATCGGCCTCCTCAGTCCCATTCGCAGCCTCAGCAACTGCCATGGTGATTCATTGGGCACCCTGACCTGGGCCCTAAATAGCTGGGATTTCTTGATGTTCATCATGCGAAATATGAAAAAACGGTGTTAGTCGTTGATTCATCCGCAACTTGCTGTTGTCGTACCCTTCCACTGCTTGGGCACGGTGGATTCTCATGTCTCTTGATATTTTGCAGTTTGAGATGCTTTTTGGTGTATGATCCCCATCACGTGTCACCATCATTGCCGGGCGAATTTCCCATTCGGACACTTCGAACATCTTCGAATCATAGTTCTGATGTGCACTGTTTTCTAAGTGTAAAGTTACGTGCGTTCGACTATGAACACCACTTTAGTTGGTTCCTATGGTCCAGGTTTATAGGAAACATAGGCCAAATCATATCGACACCAGCCAACAGGGGTTCAATTGTCACTCCTCAGAGCAACCACTGAGGGCCAATTTTGCTCCCTGGTTTTGCAGATTTGCTTCCAACATGATATATATATAGATATATACATAAATTGGGGAAACATGGGGTAGATAGATAATGAGGTATGCATTAGGTATAGTAGGTAATCAGGTAAAAATCGAGGGTAGCAAGTGATACACACCAGCCATCTACCGCTGCCAATGGCAATCGCAGCTGTATGGGTCCCCCTTTTGGCCGAAGGCCAAAGGGATGTCATAGATATCATATGAACACAACCTCTATGCACGTGTTCTGCAAGTATACACCTAATCATAATCAAAACTCATGAATATAATAAACGATATATAATATATGTACAGTGCATAGGTTTATATATATATATAAGTCGTAGACAATAAAACAATTGGTATAATGGGTGGGTAAAGAAATCTTCCACCCTGGCCATGTCCAACCCTTCAGAAATTCACCAAGTGGCTGGATCCACGGGAACTGAGCAGGTACCCACCAATTGGTACACATCGATACGCGCCTTGCCCTTCTCCTGCCGAAAATGGGAGGATTGGAAGCGAAATCTGAGGGAAAAACTGACTATACTAGGGTTCTTAGGGCCTAATAAGAGGGTTAGTAAACTTATGTAAACATTGTTTATTATTGTTGTTGTTTAACAGTCATATTATTACAGTTGGATGCATACTGGGCAGCTAAATTCACTTTTATTCACCGAGTTACTGGGCTGTTTGCAGCTGGAGATGATCCTACCAGTGGGTAGCCGAACATTTGGATCCCATGAAGTGTGTTGCTCAGCATATGGGGATGCGTAAGCACCAGCTACATCTGCAAATGGACAGCTCAAGTTGATGGAAGCAGTTCTGGTAAATACAGTTCTGGTAAATGCAACAAACCAGCATCGGGAATCCCGACATAAAGCAGCAACTAATAAGGAACCAGAGAGGGACAACAAATATTACATCAATGGATATAACATGATGTAAACTGATATGGATACGGGTCAAAACCATGGTATGTACCCTGGTGAACACCAAGATAGATGGGAATGGCTGTTCATCCCATTAGAAATGTGGTAGAATGGAATTTGATCCATCCCTATACCATGATAATACCATGATAATACCATGATAATACCATGATAATACCATGATAATACCATGATAATACCTGCTAGGATTCAGGATGCAGGCTAATAGCTGCTAGGATTCGCAGGCTGCTATCGTGCTTCAGCACCTCATCGATGATATGGTGACTTTTGCAGGTCGGAATTTCGGAGCCATTTCCCAATTTCGGGTGACCATCACCTGCATTGCCACCTCTGCTGCTGTTAGTGCCAGCAGTGGTGAGGAAGATCGCGCAACCCGAATTAGCTTGGCATTGACCTCATCTGCTCCAAACACATGTGCCATGTGTATAAGCTTCGCAGGGTGCCATCCAGCGCATCATTGGCCAATCTCCCTTGATCTTGACCGTTAGCCCGGCGAAAGCTGGCGCTCTTCCGAAGGCATCCCAGGGCGGACCAAGTACGGTGCAGCTGGGCAGTCCGAAATTATATAGAGTCGTTCCATTGACCCTTGCTTGAAGTGATATGAATATACACATTTCTTTAAATCTGTTTAAATAAATAGATATTGGTTTCAAAGGAGAAAGAAGAGAAGAACAGGGAAGAGAAAAAAGGGTTCCTGACAGTTCCCCCCTTGTATGAAATAGTCATCTCAGAACCAAAACCCGAAAAACAACCAAAGCTAGAGATGGTGCAGGGAAATTTAATAATATATAACTGGTCTTGAAACAATCATCTGATCTTTTTGGTTTCTTGATTTTTTCTTGTGGATTACCAGGCCACATTTCAAATTGTTATGGGTCAAAGCCCTGGTACACTTCCGTTCACACAAGACTAGCTATTGTTCATGGATGTTCATCCACCCCCATTCATATGGTATTTCATAGGCGACTTGACCCATCCCAAAATCACAAAAATTCCCTGGAACGTGGTACATCCTGCGGCAGGGGGAAGTAGTACTTCGCGGTGGACTTGTTGAAGCGACGCCTGGGAAAATGGATGGTGATTTTGTTCAACCCAAATAGGAAGATGATGCAAGATGGTGAAGGGAGGAGAACAAAACCAATGACTTGTAAAATACCCAAGTGCTCTTTCGAACAAGCTATATACTATGTGTATCTATGTGTTCCTCTGTTTTCATAGGATACCAACCATAGTGTTGCTCTGCCACAGTGAAGCTGCGGCCAAGTTGCTGCTTGAGATTTTCTCCAAGTCGCACCGCCACGAAACCTGAGTCTGGCTTCATGGGAAAATCTTGAGTTTGGCCTTCAAATACCACAAGGAGGTCCCCAATAGTTGGCTAAGTTGGTCTTTAAGCCCATGCAACTGTAGTTTAGTTTTTATGTATATATTATAATCACCGCACACAACATACTATAACCAGTTACTTAGCTAGCTTTGAATCATCGCCAGGTGACAGCCTTGTGGCACCTCACTGGCCGCCTCGACCAAGACTTCCATGGCCTCGGACAAGTTGCACGAATTGAGAGAAATCATCCATCATTTTTTTTTAGGACCGGCATGTGGGATACTCTTTTCTGGTTAACTTGGGTGTTTCCGGAAATAGGACCTAGTGCATTTGGATTATTTTTTTGGAGGGGTGCTCTAACTTGGGTGTTTCACATGAACAGCGGATGCGATTACACTGAGTAAACACAAAACCCTATATGGATCCAGCCGCACCTTCTGAGGTCTTTGGGGAGATTCGAGGTATGATTTGCCATCTCACTAATTACTTCTCACTAGCACATCATTCACCATCGAATCTCAGTTCCGTGCCAAATCGAATGGCACAAATCGGTACCCGGACACCGGAGAAATCTCCGCCGCTGCGTGACGCGCTGTTTGACCAAATGCCGCAGTGGATGTCTTCCAGGTTGCCTCCCCTGCTGGGTGGCTTCAAGCAGACTTAAAAGGAAAAACTATGAAAATCCATCCGGAATCATGATCAATGAAAAATTAAATGATAATCCAGGTTGGTCCGAAAATGGGATATATCTGACGCCAAATATGTATCCTTTTTCATGCGGGAGTTTTTCAACACAAACATGTCTGGGAACATCTGGGAACTGACTAGTGACAGTGAATGATCCAATTTTGCGAGAAATGCGAGTAGCCATATGGCAGCCATACTAAGGAAAACCATGGAAAAAAAACATGTTAGAGGTTTACTTGGTTCCCATTCCTGATCTCCAGTTGTATCCAATCATATTCTGTTCCCCAAGGTACCCCAGTAGGTATGTCAAATCAGCCGCAACACTTTGCCACCTTCACTAAGCTAAGATAATTTCTGGTTGGTTTCCATTGGGTTCCTGCCGCTTAAGCATGTCAAAACTTGCTTGGACGCATGGTATTCATGCCTGCATGTTGATAATTGTTGGGGTAAATGTAGGTGTATGTATAAACATAGTAATCGCGCGAAGATTACACACGTATGGCAATGTGGCAAGCCCAAAACAAGCAACTATGCCACAATTTAACAGTTGGGTGAGTTTTCAAGAAAAAGTCCAAAACAACGTGGTACCACATGATATATATATATATAAGAGTTTATCACATATATTGACATATATACTGTATATGTAATCCTGTGAAAACAACACTTGTTGTGGTAAGGAAAAAACATGTGTTGAGATTGTATGAAATTGTATTTCTTAAGTTAAGTGGAGGATCCCGAAAACCGTGGGTTTCAATACTGACATGATCCAATATTGGATGATTTGAGGTCCCCCCGGTTCAAGAAACACCCCAAGTTCCGCATTCGCATATTCTTTCTCCGTCATTTCGACATGTGACGGACTGACACTCGATTCGAGTCGCACAGAAGGCTTTCCACGGCGTATCGAATGCAAGATACATTGAAGGAGGCCTGCCACCCTCCAATGCGTCCAATAAAAGTATGAAACCCTGAAACCAACACAGTCGCGGGTACCTTTTGGGAATCAAATCTTTCTCTGGTGAACCCATAGTTTCATGAAACCAACAATCCAACAATCATGAAGTAATTTAAAACACCCACCCACAAATAAAATCAAAGATTTAGAATCACACGATGATATATATATATATGTAATATCATAATCTAATGTACAACCAACAGAAGTGGGCATCTCTTAAAAGCTGGACAAAGTGGGACTACAATCCCTTTTGACACTGTTGATTTATCAATATATCCCTGGTAGAAATAAACTTCTGGTGGTTTCAACCAACCCCAAACATACAGTATGAGTCATGTTGGATCATCCCAAATTAGGCCTGCAAATGAAAAACACAATTGACTCCCTCAACAAGACTGGGAGTTTAATTGGAGTTTATACAGTCAGAACGATTCTATCCCGCTGTAGTGACCTAGAGGTGCTTAAAATTGTCAGTATTCTCCGTTATTTGATGGCAGTGTGACGTAGTTTGAAATAGATTGAAACCACCTACCATCTGAGAGTCTGAAAATCGGAACCCCAAAATCAGCTAATCATCATTTTGGCCCCTCAGAATCAACATTTTGGAGTTCCCATTTTTGGACAAAGCCATGTTTTGCAGCCATCCTTCTGTCGTGCCCAACTCGAGGTTTACTCCGCGCCACGGTGGATCAGCATGGTTTTGGCGCTTAACTCGGCGCGCCACTGACATTCCTCCGGGATCCGAACATGGCTATCCTTAGATGCCAAAATATGCTAATTTAAAGGGGTGGATGAACAAAAAACTCAAGCTGTTTCATCAGTTCAATCCGCATCGAAAGTACAAGTGCACCTTAGGGAAATTCAGGTGATGGACAGAAACAATGTGCGATGTCTGTGAAAAACTTTAGCATGCAGCCTGAAAGATGGGGTGCGCATAAATGTTTTTCTTGTTGGAAGTCGTAATGGTAATTTATCTGGTTCCATGTAATGTTCTAGGGTGAACTGTGCGACAAACCCAATTGGAGTACACACACATAACTGGGTTACCTAGAGAACTGCTTGGTGGATGTAATACCACTAAACCTTTTTGGATTAAGACAGTGTTACACTGCTCCGGTAGCTATTCTTGACGTGCCGGCACTTTTACATTTTTCAGCATCATGAGCCAAAACCAAAGAGTACGTAATGTAAATAATTAGTAAACACGCAAATTCGAAACAATCTCCAATATTAGGTCCATAAATGGGTGGTATGCACTCCCAAAACGGTAAGTATGGTAATTAAGTTTTTTAGTGGGTTTACCACATGATATACACTGCTTGGATTCTATGGTATTACATCCACCTGATGTTTTTGGAGAACCAATGAGAACCACTGATCCACTGACACCGTGGCGTCTCTGTTTTTTTCAGTGGCCACAACCGTTCTCGCTACGTTGAGCTGCTGCTCGTCTTCTCAAGCCGATCCGCACGTTTCAGGATGTCCTTGCGATGGGTGCAGAAGCAGCTCGCTCGGCATTGGCTAAGATATGCTGATAGAATAAATCTCCATGGTTCACATTGTTTCACCATGTGCCATTGTATCATATTGTATCAAAAATTGATTTATATCTGGTGGGTGGTTGACCTACCCCTCTGAAAAATACGAAAGTCAGTTGGGATTATTCTTCCCAAGATAAGGAAAAAGAGAAAATGTTCCAAACAACCACCAACCAGATGTTGTATTTCCCAGCATTTTATCATTTTCCCCACTTTCACCGTGAAGGGCCCAGGTCCACAGCGTCCTGGAACTTCACGATGTGCTCCAGGAAGACATCCGCGTGCGGCCGCTGCGGCTTCTGCGCATTGATGTGCACGTGGCGACCAGGTCTCAGCACTTGATGTGGGGATGGCTATGGGGATTTGGGGAATAAAAGTGAGGGGACAACATTGGGATATAACTTGGTGTATGGGTAATTGAGTCATTGGGGTATCTAGTAGAGCAAGAAACTGGACATTCATATTATTGAACACATCAGTTTGGGATGTTGATGTTAAACGATTTTGATATCTATATACCCACAGAAACAAGTAGCTAGGGTGACCCTGCTGGCATGATACCTCCAAACACTGCTTGTTAAGTGGATGATGTTTGCCAAGCAAAGTAAGTTGGCTCCAAATGAACATCCCAACGTCCACAAGGATGTCGTTTCGGGACACAAAAAAATAGTGACCGGTTTGCCATAAATTCTTCAGCGACAAACAGCTGTGGCAGGCTAGGACCTTAGGACCCATGAAGGTCATCAATGACAAACATTGATATTTTGTTGGGAAGATCACCTTCAGTGCTAGGTAATTCATCTTGAACTAATTGGTGTTTTTTCTTAACACCCTCAAAGAAATTTGAGTCCTTTCGGATCATCATCCCAGTTCTATGGTTGAGAACTCCGCACGGCTCACCATATCACCATCCAGGTAGAACTCCACTTCGCCGCAGGGTTGCAGGGCCTTAATTTTGAGGCACAGAAAGGCCCAACAATGCCCAACGTTGCTTGAGGGACATGAACATGTGTGTAAGATGTGTTGTTTGCTGGGCGCCATAAGAACGAGCACCATATGAAAACTATATCCAGGTGCACTTGTTTCCCCGTTGGTGGATGTCTTGGACCATCAAAAATCCATGGTTTGCTTAGGAGTCACCACCATGTATGGAGCATGTATGGAGCCTGGTCGGTGATTTGTCATGAAAACATGGGTCCCGCCAATAGGTGACCCTAACAAATATAGATGATTAAGATTCGCCCCCTTTTCAACGTGGTTCTTGCTGAATAAGCCCTTAATTAATACACCCAACCATCGGGGAGGTCCCCAATTATCCCATGATATACCCATCACGATTGGTTTTATACTCCAATTTTTTTTGGTGGGAAAGTCCCATAATTTCTAGGGTTGGCACTGTGGATGGTAGAATTCCTGCACCAGTTGGTAGATGATTCCCTAATTTGTCCCATTATAATCCAAGTATTTACAGTGAACAGTTACCCTCTGGTAATCTAACATAGCTGTTGAAAATCACCAGGTTTAAGTTCGGTAAATCATCAATTTCAGGTCCATTTTCCATAGCTTTTTCTATGACCAGAGGCTACCAACTGGGGATTTCTTCTACATCCAGCGGTGCGCCAAGGTACGCCATCCAGTGGAGTGCCTTCCTTCTGGTGAACCAACTGCCGTGTCTTGTGCATGACCTGAGGGAAGATCCAAATCCCGGGATCATCCTGTGGATGAGAATTCTTCGTTCACTCATTTCTATCATATTATATTAATTATAGTCTATATATATTAAATATATAACAGTATACATATATATATATATGTGTATATATAATACCTAATGGCTTAACAAATGTGTTTAACCACTGCCAGGTTAAGTCCATAAGGTCTTCATATCCCCTGCTGGCGCCGGACGCACATCAGCTGATCCCGCAAGCCCTCACCGTCCATCTCGCACAGCTGGGCCAGCCTGGCCATCCGGTGGTGGTGTCGGTTTTTTAAAAGGGGAAGGGGAAATCCCAAAAAATATATGGGGAAAATCATGGAAAATCTATGTGGAAAAAAAAGGAACATACGCTTAGGTGTTCGTGTGTCTTTGTGCAAAACCAAATTGGGAATGTGAGAAACTGCCTTTTGATTCGAGTATTGAATATTGCAAATTGCGTGGATGTTACACAACTAGTTATACCCTCTGGTTATTTAACATAGCCATGGGAAATGGCCCATTTATAGAGGTTTACCATGGTTTACCTATTAAAAACGATGATTTTCCATGGCTATGTTGAATAACCAGATGGTAACTCAAATGAGGTGTTTTCATGGCCCCAAGTTGTGCAGCTTGGTATGGTGAATGTGGCGGATTTTTTTGGGCCCCCTCTGGGGCTGGTGGGAGATCAGGTCAAGAAGGGGTTTTTACAAGACAAACTACATCATTAGCAAGGATACTACAATGTGGGGCCCCCCAGTTATAAGATGGTTTCTAAACCACATTGACTATAGTTATAGGTACCATAAACCATAGTTATTGGAGTTATAAACCAACTTAGCTATCTAGGGGGCCCCACTTTGTATGTAGAAACTTTGGACTATATACAACACGTCTACAATATATGATTCTAGCTTAGATTGGAGTACTGTACACGTATATATATATATAATTATATATATATATATATATCATAGATAGATAATTATAGATAGATTGATTCACCGCCAAGCAGTTTACCTTTCATGAGAGTCGCCCCAAAAAAAAACATCGTTGGGTTCCAGGTTTGCGGGCCCTATTTTCCACCAGGCTTTGGGATGTTTCTGGGGCTGGCTGCCAGAGGCACTTGGAGGTCTGCAAGGAGGTGTAGAGCTTCATATAGGATCCAATGGTCGGAAGCGCCTGCTGCTGTCTCACCTGCCGAGATTCCCCATCTGAAGATGGTATCCGGGGCACTTAACCCTTGACCCGCCCTTGACTGGCCGACTTTGGTCATTTCTTTGAGTAGTAACCTTCCCATTATGGGTCCCCAAACGTGAAGCCTTACATGATAGGCCGTCCGGTATTCCTTTTGCAAAATATCTCTCAATTCTGGGATTCGACATGTAAAGTGTCAAGGTTTGAGATACCCATAACACCTCAGCTTTGGTGTTTCACTCAGCTTTTGTGGAAGTTCATACGCAGTGTATACCTGGACTGGATACAAAACAAACATTTGCATATACCTGGACAAAACCAAACTACCACAGTTCCTAAACTGGACATTCCTAAACTGGACATAGACCATTATTTGGATTTATTTGGAACATTTTCCATACTTGCTATCATTTACATTGTGTGAGGTCAATGTAAGCTGTTCAAACCACATGTCATATACATGTACAGTCTGCATATGTATAATATTCCTATGTATAATATTAATATGTATAATATTAATATGTATAATATTAATATGTATAATATTAATATGTATGTATGTATATATATATAAATATATATATATATATATTCTATATTATATTGGTTGTGGCTGAACTCTGAAAGAATGAACAATTTTTTTCATAGGATAATGTTCGGATGATTCCCCCTACCGGTATCATACATCGATGTATCCATTTCAGTTGATTGAATCACACGAATCAGTTGATCAAGTTTTCACTGGTTAAACCCCAAGTTTTCCTGATGAAAAACATGGTTAAGCCATGTTAAGCCACCATTTCTCTTGATTGAATCGCACAAAAAATGTGCTATCTTCAGGGCTCGGTTTTTGGTTGCTCCGCGCAACCTCCTGCAAGAAGAGGTGCAGCTGCCGCTGATGCGCTTCGTTTGCGTTGAAGTTGTCTAAATCTGGGTGGAAATGGCTTGAGAGATGGATAGATGGCCGAATGTGACTGAATGGATTCAACTGCCAGGGGACGAACTAGCAAAAAAAATGGTATATGCCATGATATGACCAGCCATTATCGAGAAACATGTTCCAGCCGGATCCAAAGTTGTCTCCAAAATTGTAGGCCTCTGGAAACAGCAACGTCTGCCTTTGGAGAGGCAAGTTAACCCATGTGAAAAGTGAATATTGTACGATATTATTGCTTAAAGAGTGTGATCATATGAATCATATGCCCATGGTTGTTGAATCAGTTGAATCCTCGTGGCTGTCAACATCCTTACCTTGAACCATTTTTTGGAGTGCCTGGAGATATGTTTAAACACAAGATTCCATAGCAATCATCGGTGGATCAGATTGGAATGACATGGAATGAAATGGAATGAATTGAAACCCTGGAGCTCTGCTTTTTGCGCCACAATTTAGATTGTTCTTGTGGATCTTCATCCTTTGAAAGAACCTGCTCTCATAATCATGGCCAATTCCCATCCACCATTCGACTCGCAAATCTGGGCTTGCCTGAAAATAGGCTTCCCCCAAAATCGAATGGTTTGGAAATCTTCAGAACCTCAAGTTCCCCCTCAAACAGTCATGGTTCTTGGGGTTTTTAGATGTTTTTAGTGTCCCATTTATCCAATGTATATATCCAATGTTCAGGTCCAAAAGACCCATCGATCAGCTGAGAAACTCTCCAAATCCGGCATGGATGCGGCCACAAACTTTGGACACGCGTACGAGAACCAGTCCTGTCGCGTACGGAGAGCTTCCGTGGTGACTCCCCATGGATGGAACTAGATGGAAGTGACCTGGAGAATGGGGAATGGGAAATGCCAGCCCCAGAAAAAATGGTTGTTTGTTAAATTTTGTTAATGGAAAATTGATGATGAAGTGGATGGAATTGGGGGGAATTGGGGTGTTCACACATACTGTATTTCAAACGAAGCCATATGTCTTTGGGCAAGTTGCAAGAATTCCATAATTCCCAAGTCAGAAATAGGTCAATTTTGCAGCGCTTTCTCTTTACTGACCGATACTCGATATTTACACTATACGGGAATTCGAGAAGGACCAAGGAGTTTGATGTTACGGGTAAGGGATTCATTAGCTTTGCATATTACCATGAGAAACAGGCTTCGATTGCACTCTTAGTAGCTGTTGTTGGAAGGAGTAGTCTAGAGCAGCTTACCCTGGACAGAGCTTAGGGTGCCATTAATAAATTGATTTACCACCAGCTGTGGTGAAGGTGGGGAACCCTGCCAGAAAAGAAGCTTTTTAGAATCCCCAAATTTGTAGTCAATGGTTGGACATCGTTGGGGGTATCCTTTGATACCCCATTTTTGCATGAAATGGCATGAACATGTCCCATGACTTTGGTTGCATAGCTATCAAAACCCTTAGATACACCTTTTCAGAGAGTGACACACACACACAGAGTATGATTCTTGTCCAATTACCGTCAAAAGGTATCCATCCACAAACCATTCACTACAGTATGGTAGGGTTTGAACATGTTGAAACCAATTTTGTTATGGAGTCCTCAGAACAAGTGTATTCTGTGCAAGACAAAGATGGTACTGACCGTAGATACCAACAAGGGTTAACTCATTGAATTCACTACGTTGATGTATCTGCGTGCACTTGAAATATCGTCAGTTTCTTTGTTGAAATACACCTGAAAACCATTGGAAACCGGCAGCCATCTATCCACACAAGACGCAACGTGACCTGCCCTGAGACGTCACACCTCGAAGTATCCTTCCACGCCCTGCTGAAGATACATCTGCTTGTCTGCGGCTGCTGGGATTGGATCCAAGCGATGGATGACTTCTCAGGAGCTGTCTGGGACCAAAAGAACTGATGGTTTCACCGAAAAAGCTTCATCAACAATGGCCCTGAATTTGCCCTGTAACACTGTAGTTGAGTATACCATACAGGATACATATATTAATCATCTATAGATATGATTGTATATGTTTATAGATTTGATCAAATCCGTGAAGGGCGAGCAACTGGCCAGACTATTCTGTTCACCTTTTGGGGTATTCACCAAAGTCATTATTTTGATTGCCTCTCTCCCTAGCGTTTTCTTGCTAATAAACTTCCAAATCATATATCAAATACCCAATTGGTTCTGTGTCAAATCCGCATATCATTTTTGTTTATGCATTATATATATATATATAACTATAACCAATTTAATCCAGGTAAGAAACCACAATATCATGCCCAATATCTATATCTCCCCAAAGAAAGATACTCGACTTCAAAACGCATCCTGGACATATCCAATAAATGTATATAATATAAACTGGTTGGTGGTTGACCTACCCCTCTGAAAAATACGAAAGTCTTGTTCCCAACATATGGAAAAATAACATTCATGTTCCAAACCACCACATTGTTCCACATTGTCTTATGCGCCACTGGAGTCGAACGCCAGCAGCCCACTTTCGGGCATTCAGGCCTGTGAGACCAAGACCTTCGGAAACAGCCTATGTCGAGAAGCCAACGGTAAGTTCTCCAGTGATTTGGCCGTACGGAAAATGCCACCAGGTACGAAACTCAGCAACCATTCATCGATACAGTCTATCCTCACCGGATCCCAAGGAAGCGCAAGACAACCCGTGTGCATAAATACCGCTCTTGACTGCGGTCTGCAATATGCAAAGGCACAGCTCTGTCCTAAATGCCTTAGGCTTTCTTTGAGAACTTTGTTAAACCACCTGGCGCGAGTTTGAAATGGCACCGAAAGCAAGTCCAAATGCGGCATGGCATTGCCGGACATCCAGGCATCAAACTTCGTAGGGCCTCTCTCACCAGACATTTCAAAATCCAGATAAAGATGATACTGTGATACCCAGACAACCTCATGTGTACTCTGAAACACTGACTGCCAGTACCAAGAAAGAATGGTGCGGACCACAACATCACCGTACCACCTAACCGCGGCTGGAGGAATCTGCAGGACTCCCAAAGGCTTCCAAGTGTGTTCAGGGACAACTGCAGGAGATCCTAGCTCAGCCCTTTCAGTTTCATCAACTGGATTGCTGTCACGCACGGCCGCTTTGCTCACAGCCAAAAGCACCTGTTGAACAGCGCGCGAAAACGAATGACATGCTATCGTGGAGCCAACATGCTTGTCATACAACTGCCAGAATGAAGCCGGTCTCTGCCACTGGGCCTGGTTGGCCGCCTGGTCAGCCATGGAATTGTGAAATGCACACCATTCTTCTAAGGGAGTCATCGTTTGCTGCACTTTCTGGTGAGCAGCAACTTTAGTAATACTGACCTGTCCAGGCTTGAAGTCACGAAGACACTCATAAATAGCCATCCATAAATCAGCATGTGAACTGTTGGGCTTAGGTTCCCCCCCAAAAGAAGTTTACCAAGGCGTTTCACAACCGCATTACAGTCTGACCAAATGGCAACTTTGGCACCTTGCAACCTCATGCAGTTCAAGGCTCTGAGAACAGCAAATATTTCCGCGCGATAGGAACTTTGCATCATGCCCGGTAAGGGGGCCGCATCAAGGACCTGACCCGGTGTGATACCTCTAGCATCAGCTAGTACAACCGCCCATGCTGCAAGTCTACATGAAGGAAAACCTTGATTGAGGCAACTGCCATCCGTAAACACATGCACATCTCCCCCTTGATCCTGCAAGGGGGCAGGGACAGAAATCTCAACCCTCGCAAGTTCTTGGAGCCAAGCATGCAATGTGAATGGCCTCACACTCCAACCATAACAGGTCAAATATTCAGGTGCAGACGCAATGAGAGAAAGCACATCCTGTGGTACACCTTCACGAGCTGATGCATACTGTTCACAAACCCAAAATTTATGGAACCTAGAGTCAGTGCATGAGCAATGGGGGCACAACTTAGACCCCTCCTCCTGGCAATAGGATTTTCCATCTTGCGTGATGTGACATCCATTAAGGCATTTGTGAAATAACACCTGATCCTCTGGGGGCAGCGTTTTCAGGAAAGCTCTGGTATCCGCAGCATCAGCATACTGGAGATGTTTAAAACCCTCCCTATGTGAGACCTGCTCAGCAACAACTCTTTGCCACGCCCATTGGGCCCTGAGAACAATTTCCGCCAAGCTGGTTTCAAATAGGCTGAATCGGCCAAACTCATCACAAAGTTTACCACCATGAGCAACATTCCATCCAAGGGTCTGCAGGCGAGCCAACAAAGTCACTGTGATACACGTGTCGGGCAAGTCAAGCTCTCCATGAGCAACAGCAAACAGAGTCTGTTCAATGTGACCCTGATCACCACAATCCCTGGCACCCCTGATGGTTTGAACAATGCTCCAAAAGCACGGGTCAAGCAACGGGTGTTCAATCATCCCCAGCTGAAGCCACGCATTGCTCCCAGCATTGTCCATTTCCAAACCTCTCATAGCCCCTGATCTCAGTGTGTGCATGGCCGCATCAGAGACAGTTGTAGCTGCCACCGCATGTAAGGCCCTTGGCCAAGCTGCCACCAGGATGGCCCTAACCTTCGCTCTATAGCTGCTGGTGGAAAGGCGCAATCTGTTCCACAAAGCAGGCATGGAATTCATTCGGTCCATCAACGAAGCATTTGTGTGCTTCTTGCCCAATTGAACGTGAGCACCCAAATTTTTTGCTGCAAGGACAACTCTAAATCCCTCACCTCGAAGGCGCTGCCTACCCTCAGCTGTGATGGACCAGGCATAGGTCTTTCTAGAGTCAAGTTGAAGATCAACTGCCTCCACAAACCTGTCAAGACATTGTTTGGCTCCATTCAGGAGGGAGCTATGGGTGCAAACAACCTGCCAATCATCCACAAAAGACAACGTCGTGCACATCGGAAAAAACCCTTGCTGCCACTCATGAAATGCAAAATCCAAAATGACCATAGCAACGCAGCTCAAACCGCACCCCTCAGGGAAGCCAGTAACGCTGGGTACTCCATGTGTGAGTGACCCGCGCAACAAAAACCTTCGTTTCATGGTTGCCAACGCCCCAGCCCATGCGACAAGCATTGGTCCAGGTAGGCCAAGGTGACCTGCGATTTCAAAAATTACCAGTCTCGGGATCATGTTGAACGCCTTCTGAAGGTCCGCAACAACTCCAGTGAGCTCAATGTCATGCTGGAACGAATGTTCAATAGACCACAAAAGTTTTGTCCAAACCTGGGCGGCATATCTTCCCGGTCTCCCCCCATAGAGGGTGTCTGGTAAGGCATGTTCGAGGGCAGCCAAAGCTTGCTTGGAATGATAGGAACTCCAAACCCTGTACAGGAGGCTAAACACTGTTATAGGGCGAAAATCGGCAGGCGAACCAGGACAGGCAACTTTAGCCAAAACTAATCACCCTGCCATCCACAAGTTGAGATGGCCATGAGCCAGTACATTCGCTCTGGGCAAACATGTCACAAAAGGCTTGTAATACAGTGTCAGGCATACGTTGCAAATCGAGCAAGGTAACCCCATCAAAACCTGGTGACGTGGTCTTCTTTTTGTGGCGCAGCACCTGCTTGAGATCAGGAACAGTCAAAGCAGGCCACTGCAACTGCAAACGGGGAAGCCTCTGGTGGGCAAACGAAACAATCTGATTCCATCGGGAAGCAGGAACATCTCCATGTCTCATCCATCGCTGCTTCCAGGCAGCAACAAACTCAGTTTCCAGTTCAGCATGTGTGCCAATGAATTTTTGTTGTGAGATTTCAGCCCCAACTTCCACAGCAGAAACATCACTAACCCAAATTGCATCCGCAGAGTGATGAATAACCTCAAGCGGTACCCCGGCACAAGCAATGGGACAATCCTCAGCAAAAGAGCAGTCATGAGTCAACACTATCTTACCCTCGGCAGGCTCCACTGACTCCACCTCCGCCCTGATGGGCTGCAACAAAATGTCGACCCCTGGGATAGCCGGTGGCCTGATGTCAGAGAATACCAATGCAGGATTTTGATCTCGCCTGAGCTTGGCATATTGGCGGGACGTGTTTCGCAAAACTTTTTCAAATGCGTTCGACGCCATGACCAGCGATTCATACATTGCCACAGCCACATTACCATCCGGAGGAACCGGAGGACACACATGGGGAGCATTGCCAGTTTTAAATTCAGATTCCTGCCACCACACCGAGAAGTCAGGACTAAACCCTTTGGCCCTACAAATTGCACTCCATGCTTCAACTCGCAAAATGGGCAAAGCCGCACTGGCACTGGTGGTCAAGCGGGCATAGGCCTGCAAGCGTCTCGCCTGTCTAACCCATTGAGAATGCCGAACAGAAGGTCCAAAGTATCCAGGTTGAAAATCCCCTTTCCTAGCCACTTTGGTGGGAGAGAAAAGTCCACTACGTACAGAAATGGGTTGAGTACGAGAGGCTCTGCCACATGCACGCTTTGGGATGGCAATGGGAGAGTTCATTGTGGCAGACGTTTCAATGGCTTCCCACAACTGAGCATATGCAGCCGACATGTCCTCAACTTGGGCAGGCCAACAAATCTGTTCCGCAAACTGTTTTGGCCAAGTCATTTGCTCCGGCATCGGCCACACCCACAAAGGTGGGCAGCATCGTGGGTGCTTGAACGAGCCTACCAGCATGGAATGGTCTGGCCACACATCATGAACCACTTCCAAACCAGTGAGTAGCTCTTGCATTTCAGGAGACAAGAATAGGAAATCACGCCTGGTACATCCCTTGCAGGTGAACTGAATCTCATGGCCCCAGCGCTCTAGGGCAACCTCCTGGATGTCACGAAATCCAGCCCTTGAAAGTAAATCAAACACCGGCAAACTTCCCATGGAC